CCTAGGCAAGAGAAGGTGACCCAGTCTCTTAAAAAAGAGAGGGGAAAGGGCTGGCACGGTGGTTCACACTTATAATCCTAGCACTTTGGGAGGCCAAGGCAGGAGGATTGCTCGAGGCCTGGAGTTTAAGACCAGCCTAGGCAACATAGTGAGGTTCTGTCTCTACAAAACAAACAAACAAACAATATCAAATGCAAATCACCACATTAATTAATACAAAAGTAAAAATAAATTAATGTAAACAAAAATATTCACAGACCAATTTATTCATCTTCTACACTAAATTGGATGCGTATTTTCATTAAAACCATGTAGGCAAACAATGGCATAAAGAAAACATGAATCTTTTACACTTTTTTTTTTTTTTTTTTTTTTTTTTTTTTTTTTGAGACAGAGTTTCGCTCTTGTTACCCAGGCTGGAGTGCAATGGCGCGATCTCGGCTCACCGCAACCTCCGCCTCCTGGGTTCAGGCAATTCTCCTGCCTCAGCCTCCTGAGTAGCTGGGATTACAGGCACGTGCCACCATGCCCAGCTAATTTTTTAGTATTTTTAGTAGAGACGGGGTTTTACCATGTTGACCAGGATGGTCTCGATCTCTCGACCTCGTGATCCACCCGCCTCGGCCTCCCAAAGTGCTGGGATTACAGGCTTGAGCTACGGCGCTTGGCCAATCTTTTACACTTTCTAATCTGAATTTTATTAGTTCCAAGTTATTTTGCTACTGCAGCATATATGATTATTTTAAAGATGAGCTGCTTAAGACTACTTTTTTTTTTTTTGATATGGAGTCTCACTCTCTGGCACAGGCTGGAGTGCAATGGCACAATCTCGGCTCACTGCAACCTCTACCTCCCAGGTCCAAGTGGTTCTTCCACCTCAGCCTCCCAAGTAACTGGGATTACAAACATCCACCATCATGCCCAGCTAATTTTTGCACTTTTGTAGAGACAGGGTTTCACCATGTTGGCCCAGGCTGGTTTCGAACTCCTGACCTCAGGTGATCTGCCTGAGTTGGCCTTCCAAAGTGCTGGGATTATAGGCATGAGCCACTGTGCCTGGCCAAGACTAACTTCTTAAAATAAAACCAAAAAAACCTTTTTCTTTCTTACATGTTTCTTTCATATATAGTAGTTTCTTCTTAATAAGATTTAAAATACGCTATCAAAATGGAAGCCATTGAATAGATCAAAAATCTGAAAGTTACTTTTGGCTTTTAGAATTAAAGTTGATTTCATTACCTATCTGACCTTATCCTGTCAAAAACATCCAACCTACCTCTCCAAAATTAGTCATGTTCTAGTTGGCTGCAACTAGAAGCATTTCTCCCACTAGTCCATTAAGTTCAAAAAAGAACTGGCAGGTGAGAATGAAAATTCTATTTAATTTATGTGCAAGAAAGGAGGTTCAGGCAATGACTGAGAAACTGAGTAATGACGGCAGGTAAGAGAAAGAATGCATAAGCAAAGCTAATGTTAGGTATTGTAGCAGGCCACAAAACCAGAGGTGCTCTTAATTTTTTTGTTTTGCTCTTAAATAATAAAAATGTACATTTTGGGTTAATGAACTTAAAAATCTTGCCAAAGTATATGTGTTAACACAGAGAGAGCCCAAGGCTGGCTGCCAGCACCCCAGGAGTCCGTAATTATGTATCAGCAGGTAGACACTCTCACTGTGACCCCTTGAATATGTTTTAATTATTAACTAAAAAAAGCCTTTAAAAATCTTTACCTAAATACGTCAGTAGAGTTTCCAATTTCAGTGATCAATAATCTCTGTTTTCACTCTGAGTTTGTCAATGTAAAAACTAAAGGATACAGAAATTTCCTTAACGGCCTATGCTGCATTCTATTAACGGCATTTCCCTAATGGCCTATGGTGCAGTGGCTCACACCTGTAATCCCAGCACTTTGGGAGGCCGAGGTGGGTGGATAATGAGGTGAAAAGTTGAAGACCAGCCTGGCCAACAGAGTGAAACCCCGTTATCTACTAAAAGTACAAAAAATTAGCCAAGAGTGATGGCAGGTGCCTGTAATCCCAGCTACTCAGGAGGCTGAGGCAGGAGAATCCCTTGAACCTGGAAGGTGGAGGCTGCAGTGAGTGGAGATTGAACCACTGCACTCCAGGCTGGACAACAGTGCGAGACTCCATCTCAAAAAAAAAAAAAAAAGAAAAGAAAGAAAGAAAGAAATTTCCTTAACTAAATCAAAATGATCCTAAATTCAAAATCAAGAACCAAGGGAGCATTAAGAAAATTGTTAACCTTGGGTCAGCAGAGGGAGAATAAAACTAGACAATATAAAGAGGGCCTTATTTTAACTCACTACCCTAATCAATAATCAAAAAGCCTTACAATGATATCTGTGTCATGCTGAATAATGCCCCCCCAATACATCTATATCCCAATCCCCCATACTTATGAGTGTGCTACCATACATGGTAAAAAGGATTGTATTAACATGATTAAATTAAGGATCTTAAAATGGGGAGACAGATGAGGCTGGGTGCAGTGGCTCATGCCTCTAACCCCAGCACATTGGGAGGCCAAGGTGGGAGGATTGCTTGAGGCCAGGAGTTTGAGACCAGTGAGAGCAACATGGTATAACCCTGTTTCTACTAAAAATACAAAAATTAGCTGGGCGTAGTGGTGCACACCTGCAGTCTCAGAACTCAGGAGGCTGAGGTTGCAGTGAGCCGAGATCATGCCACTGCCCTCCTGCCTGGGCGACAGAATGAGATCCTGTCTCAAAAACAAAAGATGGTGGGGGTGGGAGAGAGATGATCCTAGATTATCTGAGACAACCCAATGTAATCACAAGGGTACTTGCAAGAAGGAAGCAGGAGGGTCAGAATTAGGGGTAGGAGATATGATGACGGAAGTCATAGGTTGGAGTGATGGAAGGAAGGGACTGAGTCAGAATGCAGGTGACCTCCAGAAGCTGAAAAAGGCAAGGACACATTTTCCCTTCAGAGCCTCCAGGAGGAACAGCCCCTGCTGCTGTCTTCATTTTCACCCTATGAAACTCAGCTTGGACTTCTGACCTCCAGAACTACAGGCTAACAAATCTGTGTTTTTTCAAATCACTAAGTTTGTGGTAATTTGTTATAGTAATAATAAGACATTAATCAATATTTTATTACAGTTTAAAGGGTTGTGAAGTTTAGTAGGTATTATTACTATTAATTTAATTGAAGCTACAACAAATAATTACAAAAGAAGGTTTGAAATTGCCCAGCCTTTCCAGGTACACACCTCTGTAGGAACTACTAGCATCTAGAGAGCTTTGGGAAAAATAAAAGACATGAGGACAAAGGAAAAACATGATTTTATATAAGATAAAGCAAGCCTTTAATTCCTGTGTACTCCGTAATAAGCTAGTGCAGGACTCAAAGAACCATAAATGATGCAAAACTTCTAAACAAGAGTGTAGCCATCGGCTTCAGATAGGTAAAAAGCTAGGTGATGCTCTAGGATATGAAATGAAGGGGCTTATCTACACAAAAGCAACTGTCAGAAGAATCATGACCCTGCAAAGGTACCCTTAGGTAACTCTGACCTATAATAAAAATCCGAACTCTCAAATACCACCTCTACTAAGGAAGAAAATCCTTAGAACTGCTTTATACCTTGTATTTTCAAGACAATGACATTCTAGCTATATTTCAATTTTCTATACAAGATGGACTTCCTTTAATCTGGGAGACGGGATACACAATGCAATACCAGAAAGTGTCAGCAAACATAAATGGCTTACTTTCATATTTACAGTTTCTATATATATTTCAGTCACTTACTTCTATCAGTAAATGGTGAGTTTGTATTCATTAGGCAAAATGCTGACAGTTTACTAAAATTAACCATGAGCAGATCGAGGCAGTTAAAAGTGCTTTTTAGGCACTACCAGATAAGCAGAATAGTAGAATTTGAGAAGACAAAAAGCTGGACTGCCTATAAGCCACTATAAGATCTATTTTTCCTAAATTACCACAAAATTACAGCCTTTAGAAAAAGTATGCTCTGGGCTGGACGCGGTGGCACACACCTGTAAGTCCCAGCACTTTGGGAGGCCAAGGTAGGTGGATCACGAGGTCAGGAGATCAAGACCATTCTGGTCTACATGGTGAAACCTTGTCTCTACTAAAAATACAAAAATCAGCCAGGTGTAGTGGCATATCCCCATAATCCCAGCTACTCGGGAGGCTGAGGCAAGAGATTACCTTGAACCAGGGAGTTGGAGGTTGCAGTGAGCCGAGATTGTACCACTGCACCCTAGCCTGGCAACAGAGTGAGACACTGTCTCAAAAAAGAAAAGAAAAAAGTATTCTCTGTGTCAACAGTAACATAAATACATAAATCAACCTTCCCAAGTGAAGGTGAAAGGAGGGTATACAATTTTAGCAGTTTTCCTTTCTACTTTATTGCATATTTTATATCTTATTATTTAAAAAAGGACGTGTTAACCAAAGTAATAGTATTTTAAACATTACCCTTTCCTTTCTTTCTTCCCAGCCTAGTTCCAGCTGATACTACATTAAAAATAAATGGGCCAGGCGTGGTGGCTCACGCCTGTAATCCCAGCACTTTGGGAGGCCAAGGCAGGCAGATCACTTGAGGTCAGGAGTTTAAGACCAGCCTGGCCAACATGGCGAAGCCCCATCTCTACTAAAAATATAAAAATTAGCCAGGTGTAGTGATACGCACCTGATATCCCAGCTACTTGGGAGGCTGAGGCAGGAGAATCACATGAACCCAGGAGATGGAGGTTGCAGTGAGTTAAGACTGCACCACTGCACTCCAGCCTGAGTGACAACAAGACTCAGTCTTAGAGGGAAAAAAAAAATACTTTTATAGTTTATCAATTTTCAGGCTAGTTTTCCAAATCTTAAATTTACTTTCACAATAGTTCTTTCTAAAGAGATGGAAATAGATAATTCCTTGCTTTAAGAGCTCCAAAGGAAAAGCTCCTTTGTCCCTATCTCACAACCTCAGTACAGTTCTCACCTGCTATTTTGATATTCAGATTGGCATCCAGAAGTAAATTTTCAGCTTTTAAATCACGATGAACAATGTTCCGACAGTGACAAAAATAGACAGCTGTGACGATCTGTTTGAATTTCCGACGTGCCTCCTTTTCTGCCATTCTACCATGGGCCACCAGGTGGTCTGTGTTGAAGAAGAATACAGTCAGTTTTCATTCTGGACACTTGTGTAATTTCAAAAGGTAGACTTTTAAGGAGGGCTACAAGGGGCCCTCTCAAATGAATGAGTTAAAGAAGCAAAATGAACAAAGAGAGAACACCACATTGATAGTCCTGGTTTGCATCTATAGAAATTTATTAGTAATAAATATCCAAACTATTTTAAATATAAATCCTGTTACACAAAAGCATGCATAAGAACACACTTGTACTTTCATTTGGAAAAGAGAGTTCTGAGGGTTATAAGGTGTTTATCAAGGATCATAGAACTAAAAACCTTTCTTTTCATATCCCCACTGCAGAAGATTACAGACATGAGCAAACACACATGAAGGTAAGCATCAGAAATATTTCCTGTGTTAAAGGGGAGATAAAAAAGCAAGGCCCCAATATTCAATCATTTAAGGAAAGAGTGGACAGAAATTAGTCACTGCTGAGGGGCTGGATAGAGCACTCTGTTTAGGTTACTATGTCTTCTGCTTTCTCAAAGTTCTTTCATTTGACATAAAAACACAGTCAGTCACTGTTCTCTGGAGTGCCTAGTGATATACTTACATCTTTATATCTGCATTTATGGGGCTTACCAAATGGTTCTTAAAGAATGTTAATTTTTACAGATAGCATCAATCAAAAACCAAGTGAAGTTTCTACCAACTTAAATAAAATCATTTCATTGGCCATGTTGTTAACTAAGGTATATCAAAAGAATTTACATGTGATAAAATCTATACTATAAAGCAGGCTATCTTCAATATTCAAAAATGATTTGATGAATTAGTAGGTTCTTTAAGAACTTTCCAACAATGGCAGTAGGTTTAGACCAAACCAACGACATACGTATCTGTGACTCAGTTCTTTATCAAACCAACAACACAGACAGGTCATGACAGCTAAAGGGATTAGAAATGTCAGCTATGATACAGTGGTTTTGTTAGAAATGGCTAATAGTCTCATGAGCACTGTCCTTTAATTAACTGATCTAGCTGGGAAAAGGACATATTTGCCATCATAAGCATTTTGAGATGGTAGGAAAGTGAAAAATGAGGGAATACAGATAAATATACTGTTGTTTATTTATCAACAGTACTTTTGGTAAGAATATACAATTGTTTGGTAACATCTCACTCACAGGACTGGTCAGGTGTATCTTTCCTTCACCACGAAGAGGAAGTTCAGAGTAGCACATATTTACTAGCAATAACTGACAAGACTGAACGCTTGTGGCAAGAAACTCCAGGGGAGAAGGTTGAAGAAGAGGAGCTAGATACCGACCCATCTACAGAGCAGACTGTAAAATAATTCAAACTGCATTCCGACCACAAGGAATGTAACATTCTGGAATGCAAATACTACAGTCACTTTAAGAACATGTCTTGTATGTAGATAATGTAAATCATTAAGAAAGATCCTCAAAGGAATTATTGTGATTTTTGTTCACAATACAAGGCTTTTGAAGCATCTCCCTCAAAAAAACCAAGTCATTGTTATAGGCAAGATTACCAATTTAATAGAAAAAAAGGAATAAAACAAGAAGTCTTCCACTTAGCAGTTAAAAGGACTAGAATCAAGCTTTCCCCGGGAGGTCAGAGGTGGGGATAAGTAAGCTCCCACTTGGGTGTATTTAGGCTTCCGGTGAGGTCTGCTGTGAACTTTAAACAACACGAAGTCCCAGCTAGGGTGAGTAACTTAACAGAAGCTGTGAAAGACCTGGCCATCCATCAGAGGTGGAACGCTATGTTTTAAGAGGCCATTTTCTAACAGTACCTGCTCCTTTGACCCCCTATTTCTCTTAACCCAAGTCCTAATTATTCTAATAATATGTTTTAGTTGCTAAACCTTGTCTAATTAAAGAGCTTTGAAGAGACAGCTATTCTTGAGAAACATAAAAATAAACTCTTATGAAGGTTTACCATCAGAAGCTCATTTGGCCAAGCTACCCATTAATTAAAATGCCCAAGAGACATTCGTCTGGCAGTAAATACTAATTACCAGAACACATCAAAGCGCTTCTTAAATGCTGCAGAATGATTAATTTTATGATTTCCAAAATAAGTGATTTTCTTTTATTATGAAACTCTGTATAAATTTCTAAGTACCTTGTTTTCCTAAAATGATTGGAAATTTCTCAAAACTGTTACACAGGCCAGAAACTGGTAGAATGCAGCCTAGTTGTTTTATCTCTACAGTGACACATCGGTTGTCCCTGGACAAATCATTTAGCCTGCCAAAACCCCACCTCTTGATCTGCTAAACAGAAGTAAACTCTGTTGCATGCTATACCCAAAGACAGAATAGAATATTTGGGAATAAACATGTACTCTGATTATTATACATCAGCTGGGCGCAGTGGCTCATGCCTGTAATCCTAGCACTTCAGGAGGCCAAGGTGGGTGCATCACAAGGTCAGGAGATCAAGACCATCCTGGCTAACACACTGAAACCCTGTCTTTACTAAAAATACAAAAACTTAGCTGGGCATGGTGGTGGGCACCTGTAATCACCTCAGGAGGCTGAGACAGGAGGATCGCTTGAACCCGGGAGGCAGAGGTTGCAATGAGCTGAGGTAGCGCCACTGCACTCAGCCTGGGCAACAGAGCGAGACTCCATCTCAAACAAAAAAAGAGTATCATATGGCAAAACTTTCACTTTCAAAGATGTTGCAAAAGACACTTTTTTAAAAGGTCCACTCAATACTATATAAGGAATATTGAAACATACAGTTAGTAAGAGCACACAGCTCTTCAGGATTCTTTCGAGCTTAAAGGTGATTTTCTATACACTGACTGTCACTGTTAATGGTTCTGGTTAAAAGGTGCCTGTAATAGTGCACCAGGTAATACAGCTTAAACTATAATACTTTCCCCAAAGTTACCTTCAGTACCCCTATAGCTATAGATACAAAGAAGATAAATCACTTTTTTTTTCCTGGACTCTAAATACACTTATTGAACAAATCACTTTTTTCCAAAAAGTGTTTGCATGAGATATTTGCTCCTAGCCATTGTGTTTGGCATTCAAGTTTTCTTCTTCTCTTTGGGAGCACTGTGCTCTTCACATACAAGCCCCTTTTGGTGTCTCAACCTCATTCATACCTCTCTCTCTGCTCTGATTTTTGCCCATCTTACCCCCCCCAACCCCTACTCCCATTGGTTTGCTTTCACTGTAGACCTATGAGGTCTAGTGGGTGTGCCAGGAAGCCAGTAGCCTGCAGCGGTTTTCAGTCCCTGCTGAAAATCGCCTTTCAGCTGCTTGCTGACAAATGGCTGCTTTATATTCGTATATGCTCTAGAGGCAGGCGGCAAACATTCTTGAAGTTCAAATGTGATATTTAACTTTTGATGAAGAAATCCAGAGCTACAGACCGGCCTGGACTTAACACATAGCCACAGCATTTTAACAAATACTGCAGTACTTTCAGAAGGCAAATGAAACCAAATGGCTCCTGAATTCACTCAATATGCAAAGTAAAATATATGTTGAACCTTGTCAGGATAAACTCCAATTGCAAGGAACTCTAGAGCTGTTCTGCTTCTTCCAGGCAATTCAGTGAGCTAGTGCTCCTAAATGCCGAGCCACGAATACTACCCATATCCTCATCCCAATCATCCACACTGCAGCCATAACCCCAGGAAGATTCTTGTCCCCGCCCCATCCAACCAATCTAAGCAAATCTCAATTAGACACCTGCTGTGTAAAGTCAAGTCCATCACACTAAGCTTTTTTCACCATCAATCAACTACTTCTCTATTTAGTTGCCATTATAGGTCTCAGACAAATTTAAAGTTTTCTTTGACTAGAACTTTACTCCAAGGATGTACAGACAGGGATAAGGTGATTCTCCACTAAAAGGAAAAAAATGGTTCTCCTGTTTCAAGTGCTTGTCAAAAGTAAAAAGAGTTTAAGTTCTTTTTCTCACTTTCCAATGACCATAACTTGGCACTGGTCTTCTTTATTTTTGGTCTGCCTTTCCTTGTAAAATGAAAAGAAGTGAGTAATACTAAGAGATTTCCATATCCCACAAAGAGTAATATTGCTAGAAGTATCGGAAATCAATTTTGAAGTTTCTAAAGTATTAGAGCACCATCATATAAGTTTGCTTCAGAATTCACTGTTTGTAATTTTGTCCCAGTCTTACTCAGAAAGAAAATACCTCGTGGTACATTTAGGTTCTAACCTTTCAAAGAGCAAAAATACACAGAAGCCAGTCTTAAGCTTTCCTAGGCCAGCTTCAATGGAGTGTCAGAGGTATGCCACTAATGGGATAGTGGTGGGGAGCCAACATTTCTTAAAATAAGTCACTTTTCCACTCAGACAGTGTCTCCATTTGTCTGCTAAGTCTACGACTCACAGCTGATGCAAAACACTAGCTGAAAATGAACATATCCTGACGGCAGAACAAGCAATATGCAGAAACCTCACATTTCAGTGAAGAATGAACCCAGCCTAGAAAGGGGAAAAGGTAGTATGTGTGCTCATCTTAGGTGACCACCTGAGAAACTTCTGCCAATTCCAAACTAACCACAGCAAGCAATTCTTTGCTTTGCCACTCACTTCTATCATTTCTTCTTCTACACCCATGGAAACGACTTCCTGTTTATCAAACAAACAGCTTCTTTCCAAAAAAGCAGGGCGAGGCCAAGATAACTCAGCGCCTCTAAGCAGGTTAATAGGAGTGCACTCACTTTAACATCCTATTGTCCTCTAACTCCCAGGTGTGGGCTGCCACTCACTATAGGAAGAGGGTTTGTCATTTTGTCTTCCTTGCCAGGAATCCAACTACCTCTTACCGGGCTTCTTGCCTTGTTGCTGCTTCTTGTCACTATCTCTTTTCTTCTCTCTTCCATTGACCAGGCCAAAAACTTTTATGGCATCCTTCATTCTTCTCTTCCTCTCATACCCTGCCATCCTATCCATCAGCAAATTCTATTCACTCTTACATTGAAACCATATTCAGAATCCAACTAT